CCAGCTCCTTAAGCCGTTCCTCATAGGGCTTGTTCTCCAGACCCTTGATCATTTGAGTCGCCCTCCTCTGGAAAAATTCCAGTTTGTTAATATCTCTCTTGAATTGTGGTGCCCAGAATTGGACACAGTATTCCAAGTATGGTCACAGAGCATTCTGAACCCCACCAATGATAGAATTGGGCCAAACCTCCCACACAGAACCCCCATGAGGGCCACAGCAACACGTGGCAGGGGACGGGTAGTTTAATAATAGATTTTTATTTCTCCCCAACCAGTTAATGGGAAAGAACTCTTAAATACCTACCTGTGAATCCATTGGGAGGAAGAGAACTTCCATTTCTCTGATTTCCATGAATGTCTGATCCAAGAAGGTGGAAAAAGCAGAAAGTGTTCACTGTGTGGGGAAACCCTCAACCATCTTTCAAGCATTTTGGGGCAGTGCAGAATCAGCAGAGAGGAAGAACCATAGAAATCAACGGAGTTTGAAAACAATCAGTCAAACTCTTTCCTTATGCGAGAGAACCCTCACAGGGGATAAATTAATTGCAATAATAGAGAACATCTTACTAGGCACCAAATGATGCAAACAGGGGAGAAACCATATCAGTGCACAGAATGTGGGAAGAGTTTCAGTGTAAGAGGAAAACTCATAATTCACCAAAGAATTCACAGTGGAGAGAAACCATATCAATGCCTGGAGTGTGGAAAGAGTTTCCGTGTTGCTGGAAGTCTGACAATACATCAACGACTTCATACAGGTGAAAAGCCTTATAAATGCCTGGAATGTGGAAAGAGTTTCCGTTACAGCAGTAACTTTCGTTCACATCAAAGACTCCACACAGGGGAGAAACCATATAAGTGCCTCGAGTGTGGAGAGAGCTTCCATAGGCGTGAAAGTTTTGCTGACCACCGAAGTATCCATACAGGGAAAAAACCATTTAACTGTGAGGTGTGTGGAAAGAGATTCTGTTTAGGTATTATCCTTTCTGCACACCGAAGAGTCCACACAGGGGAGAAACCACATAAATGTATAGAATGTGGAAAGAGCTTCGGTTCGAGTCAAGAGGTCACTGTACATCGAAGACTCCACACAGGAGAGAAACCATATAAATGCCTGGAGTGTGGAAGGACCTTCTGGGAATCTGGGAAACTAACTGTCCACAAAAGAACTCACACAGGAGAGAGACCATATAACTGCCCGGAGTGTGGAAAGAGCTTCCACCAAAAGCCGCACCTTACTGCACACCTAAGATTCCACACAGGGGAGAAGCCATACAAATGCCATGAATGTGGAGAGAGCTTCAGCCGTAGTGATAGTCTCCGTATTCATCAAAGAAACCACACAGGGGAGAAACCGTATAAATGCATGGAGTGTGGAAAGAACTTCCGCTTAAGTACTAGCCTTTCCTCACACCTAAGAATCCACACTGGTGAGAAACCATATAAGTGCACCACCTGCGGGAAAAGCTTCACTCAACATTCACACCTTTCCATCCACCGGAGAAGCCACACAGGAGAGAGACCATATCAATGCACGGAGTGCGGAAAGCGTTTCAGCTATAAAGATAGCTTTACTCGTCATCAGAAGATGCATGCGTGAGGAAAACATCCAAATGTATAGAGTGAGCAAAGACCTCCAGTGAAAAGAGGAAATTATGCTTCAAAAACTGGTGTAGGGCTTGTTCCAAGTTCTCATCAGAATTTTCTTAATTGGGTGTTTATTAAAGTTTGGGTCTTTTGGCCCTGGAAACTTACCATGCATCAAAAAACCGATGTAGAGTGCCCAGATCTATAGCTTTCTGGCAAAATAATTACCTCCAAAAATTGGAAAGATTTAATTCAAAAGCATGCAGTAGGGAACCCAACAAAGCATGCAGTAGGGAACACAACAAAGTTCCAACTGACAGTATATTTCCCTCACGCCTCACCCTGGCCCCTCCCCTGCATTGCTCCCGTTTCCATGGCAACCTTCTCCCCAATTTCAAATATATACCAGAAAGGTCTATATTATGGCCTTATTTCCTGGCTTCACACCAAACCAGGAAATAAGGTCATGACATAGAGCTTGCTTCAAGTTCTCATCAGAATTTGGGTGTTTATTAAAGTTTGGCTCTTCTACCACTTTTTCATAAATTAAGTATGTATGCAAGCCAAATTTTAAATCAGCTCTTTCAAAAATTATCAGGCTTTGATTATCGAGATGCATCCATGCTTTAAATTATTTCAGCATAGCTGCTTCAAAGGGCTGTTGAATAGATGGAAAATTCATGGGTGTAGAAAGCCAACTATAATTCTTTTATGTAGCAACTGGTGCTCTTTAATTTTTACCCAGTTTGGATTCCCAGATGTCATTGAACAACAACTCCCATCAGTTTTGATTATCCACTTTGTGGACTCAGAATAATGGGAATTGTTACCCAATAGCATGGAGCCCCCGGTGGCGCAGTGGGTTAAAGCGCTGAGCTGCTGAGCTTGTTGACCAAAAGGTCGCAGGTTCGAATCCGGGGAGCAGCATGAGCTTCCGCTGTTAGTCCCAGCTTCTGCCAACCTCGCAGTTCGAAAACATGCAAATGTGAGTAGATCAATAGGTACCGCTCCGGCGGGAAGGTAACGGCGCTACATGCAGTCATGCCGGCCACATGACCTTGGAGGTGTCTACGGACAACGCTGGCTCTTCGGCTTAGAAATGAAGATGAGCACCAACCCCCAGAGTCGGACACGACTGGACTTCATGTTTACCTACCCAATAACACTTGTGACTCTGAGGTTGGAGAAAAGGTTAAATGCCATTTTAACATCAGACATACCCACACACCTTGTTTCTAAATTCAAACCCCACTATTCTGATTAAATAGAGCAAACTGAAGATTTCAGCTCCAGGAATGAAACCATATATTCCTCTTAATGGAACCAACGATTCTTAGAGCCGCCAATGCCAATCTCCTAGGAGCTGCCATAGAGTCAGAAATGTCACCCCTACAGGTATGGGATTTTTACTGTATAGTTCTTTTTTTTTAAATTGCTTTCTGAATGTTGATTCTTACAGTGTGAATTAGTTTATCTGTATTAAAACATCCATGAATATCAAATATTTTTAAAAGACAGAGAGAGACATTCTCTGTAATCCGGTTTGTGGTATTTCTATTCGGTTTTAAGAATCTTTGTTTTGCCATTTTAAGCATGCTTGCCTCTAGAAAACTTATATACAAGATTAACCCAAAAATAAAGGAAGTAGTAAGAATTTCTAGAAAGATGGCTTTCAATTATTCCTATCTTTGGATGTTCTATTTTTGTGATGTTTAATTTGTATATTACATGTTAGATATTTCATATTTTGCTTTAGAATACAATATCTAGTGCCATATATTCAGAACATTTGTTACTACAGTCGAACCCCCAGTGGCACAGTGGGTTAAACCCTTGTGCTGGCAGGACTCCTGACTGACAGGTCAGAGGTTTGGATCTGGGGAGAGTGGGTTGAGCTCCCTCTGTCAGCTCCAGCTCCCCATGCGGGGACATGAGATAAGCCTCCCACAAGGATGGTAAAACATCAAAAACGTCCAGGTATCCCCTAGGCAACGTCCTTGCAGATGGTCAATTCTCTCACACCAGAAGTGACTTGCAATTTCTCAAGTTACACACACACAAAAACCTATGGTAGCAGGAATGAAAATATGGCCCCATCTAGGCTGCCATATGATGCAGTTTATTTATCGTATCAGAAGCAAACCAAGGGTACAGCTGTAATGTATTTTTTAAAACACAATAATACAGTTTAATTGCCTTGAACTACATTATATGAGCCTGCACTGACCATATAATGCAGTTCGAAACTGCATTCTGTGGCAGCCTAAATTGGGCCATAGTTAAAGATCTGATGTTGATTTACATTCACTTAATGGTTCTTGGATTTTGTTCTCTTTTTAATTTGGTTTGTAATGCTAATTTAGTGTTTCTTCTTTCTTTATAGTCTAGTCACATTATAACTGTTTCTATTGTCACAATGTATTAATTACTTCATTTTTTTAATAACATTCATCTGTATTCAATGTTTTGTAAACATCTACTCCTTTTTGCTACCAACTTTTATAACTTTCCAATAAATTTTAATTTCTTGATATGTGCATTGTAATTTACAGTAATTTCAGGTGGGAATCTTCCACTGGAAATCTGTGGTTGAAAGTTATCAATTTTCAAGTCCAAAAATGACAGTAACGAAGTAGGAAAAAAAAAACCCCTGAAGTTGTAGAATGGTCTTTATTGTAGACTAATCTCAAGTTGTATTCCTTCTCCAGGAGAATGTCAGCAATGAAGAACAGGTCACATTCTAAAAAACTCGTACAAAAGAGCTAATGTGAGTGCATTAATAATAATAGTAATAATATTAATATCATCCCCTTCAGGGTGCCATTACTGCTCAAGCACTGAGGTTTGAGATGGTAGAACAGAAGCTCTCCGAAGCTCTAGGTGCTCTTACTGACTATTACAGGGAAAACCAGCAGGTCCCTAATCCATCTAAAACACAGACATGTGCTTTTCATTTCAAGAACAGACAAGTACCCCAAGCTCTGAGGATCACCTGGGAAGAAATCCCACTGGAGCATTGCAGTGCACCCAAATACCTGGGAGTCATTATTATTATTATTATTATTAACTTTATTTGTACCCCGCTAGCATCGCCCGAAGGATTCGATGCGGCTTACAGCAGGCCGAAGCCCAAAACAATACAACAATACAATACATAGCAAATAAAACAGTCAAGCAGAAACAATAACAATAGCAACACGACAAAACATGATTAAAAACTGAGTCGGCCAAGTAGGGTACAAGGTTAAAAGTGCTGATGTGTCGGAGGGATGTGGGATTATAATGAGAGTGCGGTGTGCAGTATGCGGTGGTCTTAGAACTAAAGTGCTTCTGGGATTTGGGCCTGGGGAATTCCTAATCTGAGAAGGCACATTGGAACAGCCAGGTTTTCAAGTTCTTTCTGAAAGCTGCCAGAGTAGGGGCTTTTCTGAGGTCTTTCGGGAGGGAGTTCCAGAGGCGAGGGGCCACCACGGAGAAGGCCCTGTCTCGCGTCCCCGCCAATCGCGCCTGTGACGCAGGCGGGATCACAAGCAGGGCCTCTCCAGATGACCGAAGAGAACACGTGGGTTCATAGACAGAGATGCGGTCACGCAGGTAGAGTGGTCCCAAACCGTTCAGGGCTTTGTAGGTAAGCACCTGCACCTTAAATTGGGCTCGGAAAATGAACGGCAGCCAGTGGAGCTCCTTAAACAGGAGGGTTGACCTCTCTCTGTAATGGGCCCCCGTTAACATCCTGGCTGCTGCCCGTTGGACCAATTGGAATTTCCGAGCTGTTTTCAAGGGCAGCCCCACGTAGAGCGCATTGCAGTAATCCAGTCTAGAGGTGACTAAGGCATGGACCACCCCGGCCAGATCAGCCTTAGCGAGGTACGGGCGTAGCTGGCGCACGAGTCTCAGTTGTGCAAAAGCCCTCCCAGCCACCGCCGACGCCTGAGCCTCAAGCATGAGCGCTGAGTCTAGGAGGACTCCCAAGCTACGAAACTGTGGCTTCAGGGGGAGTGTAACCCCGTCCAACACAGGTTGCCACCCTATACCCCGGTCTGGCTTACGATCAACCAAGAGGACCTCTGTCTTATCGGGATTGATCTTCAGCTTGTTCGTCCTCATCCAGACAGACACAGCGGCCAGGCACTCGTCTAGCACCCGAGAGGCCTCCTTGGAATTAGGTGGAAAAGAGTAGTAGAGTTGTGTGTCATCTGCATAGAGATGGCACCCAACTCCAAAACTCCGATGACCTCTCCCAGCGGTTTCATGTAGATGTTAAAAAGCATGGGAGATAAAATAGAGCCTTGCGGGACCCCACAGGTCAAAGGCCAGGGATCCGAGCAGGCGTCTCCCAGCTTCACCATCTGGGTTCGTCCCTCCAGGAAGGACCAGAGCCACGACAGAACCGTGCCCCCGAGGCCCATCCCAGAGAGACGACCCAGAAGGATAACATGATCGATGGTATTGAAAGCCGCTGAGATGTCCAAGAGAACCAACAGAGTCACACTCCCCCTGTCCAGCCTCTACGGAGGTCATCCACCAAGGCGACCAAGGCTGTCTCGGTGCCATGACCCGGTCTGAAGCCAGACTGTGCCTGATCTAGGTAATCGATGTCATCTAGGAAGCCCTGGAGCTGGAGGGCGACCACCCGCTCCAGCACCTTACCCAAAAAAGGGAGGTTGGAGATCGGCCTGTAATTGTTCAGCACCGTGGAGTCAAGGGAAGACTTCTTGAGGAGTGGGCGAACCACAGCCTGCTTTAAGTTAGATGGAAAAGTCCCTTGCTCCAACGATGCGTTAATGATCAACACAAACCAATCAACCAACCCCTCCCTGGCAGCTTTTATAAGCCAAGATGGGCAAGGGTCTAGGGCCGAAGTGGTCGCCCTCACAGCCCCAAGGACCTCCTCCACAGTCTCAGGAAGGACAAGCCGAAAAGAATCCCACAAGATAGAACAAACAGGTGCCTCAGTCACCTCCCCTGGCACTGCGATGGAATTGGAGTCGAGCTCAAGATGTATCTGG